TGTATTACTCAACTTTCAAGCCTCGTACTCTAAGATCTTGACATCACCTACTATTCAGTGTTATCAATTTAATGTCCTTCTTAAACTCAGAGTTGTAATTCTATATCCTTTCTACCGGTGTCTATGGAAGTATTCATGGGCAATAAAAACTTGTTTGTCTATATTAAAGTTCAGGTGATTTAATTTCATGAAGTGACAGAGATAAATATTATTATCGTGTATACTTCTACTTTAGGCTGAAAAAGAGAGTGGAAAATCTAGATAAATTCTTCAATATCGCTTGAGTCCAAAACTGCTGAGTTTTTTTATTTGTATACTGAAAACTGTAAGAAAACGACTACTTGTTGTTGCACTTAAGTCCACTCTATTATCACTACTATAATTCTATCATATATATATATATATATATATATATATAATTCATTGAATAGTTGTCGTGTTAAGATTTTAGTCACTTGAACCTTAATATCATTCTTAGATGTATCCAAACATTTGTTGAGGTGATATGTTTTCCTCAGGCAGAAGCTAGGAAGTTGTTCAGTATACTTTTATAGCTGGACAGTTTTCAAAAGAGTAGACACTACAACATGATATATTTAATGATATCGTGTTAAATCCTTTTTAGACTTTTCGACAATAGGATAGAAGTCTGTGGAATTCCTGAAAACGTGCGGTCTTGATCCGAGGAAGAATTCGCTCACTTGTTTCGTGTGTAGTTCAGTCTCCCAAGTCAAGTTTTTGTATCATCAAACTTAGTTTTAATTTCTATTTTGATAAAATTATGTCTCTTGATGTCGTTTCGAATGGTTTTATAAGTGTACGAAATCTTATAGCGGGAAACAGTAACTTGCTTCTCAAGAGGCACAAGTTTCCACGAGGTCGCAGACACGCCTCGCTGATGTGTACCAACAATCCCAAAACCGAGATCCAGGACTTCCTATTGGTTGCCTCTAATCAAATAAAATTCATGTTGTCACTTGATAATCATATATTTCCGTTAAACAACCACCAGAAAATAAGTGTAAAGTCACAATTTCGCAGATACCACACTTTCTATTACAAGTGTTTGTTCCGAGATATGTTAACCATAGAAGACAATGTTGATGGTTATGCTTCCATGATTAAAGAAAAAGGAAAACTTTGTTTTCACTGATGCAAACCTATAAAGGATATCCCACTGTTGTTGAGGTTGTAGCCTCCCGAATTCCTTTTGGTGGACATATATCTTACTGGTATCTATAATAGCAACAATTTTTCTCGTTTGAGATACCAATGGTTTTGCTTGTGAATACGCCAGCATTACCATATACTATCGGTGTGTGTCAGATAAAATTCCAGTTGCATTATACACGATGCAGATACAGACACGAGAAATCGCGTATTACCCTAATCCTCAGGGTATAAACTGACCATCTTATTGCTAATTGCAGTTTACCGTTAATTATTACACTGGACCAAACTTTTCGATTACTCTGAGCACATATACTCCTTTAATGGATGCCTCAATATTGCCTCAAAGGAAATATTTGGGCAGAAATTAGCAAAAATGATACCCGTTACGCAAGGTGTGGCTCTTGTGGCTCAACAGTCTAGTGAGTAACCATGTGGCGTTGGAAGTAATGGGTGCTTGTATACAGTCTCACTGGGAATTTCACCACTCAATAAAACCCAATTGCATTCAGCTGACGAGACTTTCACAGGAAGAAAGGAGTATGATAATCCTTGCTACTAAATACCACCAATCAAATAACTTCAATATCAATTATGTTTTACTTATGCAGTTTCCTACCAAGTTAATTGCAAGTTATTGAGAAAAGGTGGCAAGATGATTTCCGCTTTTATTATAAAAGTGGAACTTCTGTTGCTTTAAACAATCTACTTGATGTGAAGATTTTCAGTTCAACTTGATGTCACAAACACAACAACTTTCTGAGAGCAAATGACTCCTTTGGTGAAAAGTTCTATGTCCTTTTACTTTAATATTTGTTACTTATTCACTAAACTGGTTACTGCCTGTTTTCAAAAAAATAATGATCATTTTGTTCAGTGACCTGTCATTTAAGTCCTTTAAACAAAATTCATCAAATTTGGTGGGGATTCTCCGGTTAGTGGGGATTTGAGACATCATAGTCTGAAATAAGAATATGCTTTCAAAGCACACTACATATGTCTCCTTAAGAAGAATTCTAAACTTCAGGTATCAACAATAGTTTTCAAGCACATTGTAAATTCACCTCTTAATCACTGCATTTTAAGAAGATTCATCATTATCATGTTGGAGTAATAATAATTTTTTTAGAAAATTGCATCATGTAATCGGAAAAGTCCATTTAATAAAATGTTGCGTAATATCTGTAGAGTCAATTTTTAACAGTCTGACAGCGCATCAAGTTGTCAAGATGTTTTGGATCAGGAGCTAAAACTGATGAAGCGTGAAATAAAATGATTAAGATAATGACGATTAGAATACGTTTTTTCAGCTTTTGTCTAACGAAATGCAGTCAGGAGTTACTGAAATGAATGAAGCCAAATAAAACGCTAGAACATAATGGATACTTCAAAAAAGCAGCTGACACTGAAACCTATATTTTCTTAACGAAAAGGGTTTTCTTATGCAACCACATAGATGGTAATCTAACAGTGTGTTTTTAAAATGATAGTTAAGTTTTTCATCTCTAATGACATTGATAATTATGAAGGATAATAATAAAACACTGTTCATACTTGCTTATAATTGCCTTATATGTTCAAAAAGATTCCATTCTTACACTCGCTGTAACTGGGTAAACTCTATTTTATTTTTATACTAAGGGAACGATGGGAACACTTTGCTCTAACTGTTTTCCTCATTTTATTCCTTATTGTCTGAATTATTTGACTTAGTCTGAGTTGACTTTTATATTGCTACACAAAAATCTTTCACAATATGATTAGCATTCATATTGTTCGAAATGTACTCCATAAATAAACCATACTTTTGAAACCATCTCAGTTCTCTTGTCTAATTATGCAAATTTATGACTGAGATCGATGGCTTAGCGGCCAATTTTGCCTATCTTAGATCCAAGAAATTTACGGGTACAAAACGAAAAGTTTGCACTATTTGATGTGAATATCTTAATGTATGCTGACGTTTCATTTTTCTTGTCGTATGTGAAATAGTTTCTATTGATCAAAGTGGTAATTACTGCTTTTTATTTCGTCTAATTTTTGCCTATTCACACTGTTGAACTGATTGAAAATTTCAGGCGAACCATATAATAGTTTCATGCATAATAAGTGAGTAGTAAAATTTCATTTGAAGGTTCTGAATTTGTGCTACGAATCTTGCAATTAACTGTAGTCTGGACGCTTTCCAGTGATGAAAGTAAGCAGCAGTAAGTCTAGTTAACTCAGAAATAAAATGTCAGAAAAGCCACAGCCTGTTATTTTCTAAGGGGTTAATATCATCATATTCCTTTTTCTATTGAAGGTTACCACTTCCAGCCAATATGTTTTCAGTTAGTGTTAGATTTTCCAACAATGTAAAGGAAATGTTCTTAGTAGTTTAAGAAAATCAATCCCCTGCTATTTTTATAAAAGTCATTGATTATTATAAAGTAGTCCGCGAACTGGTTTGTAATTCAACTTCATCAATGACGCTTTTGTCCAGTATTAGATTCACATTATCCTGAAATTGGATACTCAATTTCATACATTACCTATTTGACCTGGTTAAGAAGTGATTGTGGTGAATAATATTTTGAAGATTGATCCTTTAACCTCTGTTTCCTTTAATTTGAGTTATGTACTGCAAAGTATTAAGATCGTACAGTACATAAATCAGTTTTGATCACTTATAGAGTTGGAAATACTGACGACTCAGTATGATAAATCAAAGCAATAATTCCTTTTAATAGTGTTTTACTTACAAAAGACAACAAAGCTTTAGATTTGTAGAATAGGTCTGTTTCACATGAAATGGTCAGCATCTAAGCATGTAAATCAGATTTACAATGACAGATGTTCTTTGATCAGTAATACGATATAAGCCTGAAACCGGCTGAGTTAAAAGAATTGCATTCAGATTCTAAGCAGTGACTTGAATCTTTTCCAGGTTTCATGATTTTCTGGACAGGTAGAAGTCACTACGAGAAGGATATGCGTCCATGATTTGTGTTAAAAGCTTAAACATTATCGATATAATAATAAGTGGTTTACGTTCAACCATTTTTCCCTAGCTGATATGGTGTTCTGACCTTGCAAACAGTTTAACGAATGAAAAGACACCAACTAATACCATGAACGACTGTTCATCAGAGAAATTATGGTCAGTTTTGCACAATATCGTAACCGACAAGGAAAGTTCATTTTGCAAAGAAAACTCATGTTTTTCTTCTACCTACCTTACAGTCTAGATACTTCCAATTTGTGAAATTATTTCTGTCCGGGACTGTAACCCATCGATCGTTTGTTGTCAGGGTTTTTCCAAAAACATTTCAGTGTATACTACTTAAATCCATTCTTTTCAGTAGCAGACCCCACGTAACAACATGTGTATTATTGAAAAACCACAGTCTCTTGGTTGTGTATAAAAAGGAATATCTACTAAAATTACAAATACGTTTTATGGTAATCTCCTGAAATTACTGGCTACCAGTATTTGCTGAAACGTCATTTGGTTGCTTATCACAACGCTATAGGTTTTGACATAACATAGAACTTTTCACTAACTTTCGTTTAATGTGTTTCCAAGATGAAGGTATTCACAAAATAAGAATCGGCATAAAAAAGGAAATACAATCATGGTTTACTCACCATATGTTGAATAGAATCCCAAGAAAAATATTACCTCATTCAGATAAACTCCAAGGACGTCTTAATAAATCTTGAAAAAAATTTGGTCATCAGTAAATATGATCATAGCATATGTTAAGACTGTAATTATGCTTAGTTATTTTCTTTTTAACATAATTTGATATTGTTTGATCATTAGTATCACCCCTCATGTATTTCTTTTAGATTCTCACTGCCACACAGTTGATTAATATGGGTTTGCAAATTCTCAGCGCAGTAGATTACTTACACAGCATCAACTTAATACATGAAGATATTGCAGCAAGAAATTGTGTGTAAGTTTTGTTCTTCAATGGTTTATTAGCTTTGAAAAGAAGAATGATAATCATGATATATCATTTGTTGGAAACAGCTACATATTACTTGTTCACATTTTAAAGGTTGTATCATTAAACTAATCATGCGTGAAATATTTCTGACTTTCATGACATACTTCAAGTAATTATCTCAATGAAAATATCCCTCATTCAACCACCTCGATAAAGTGGTAGGCTCGACTACTCTTTTTCTGAGAAAAGGCCATTATTAAATGAATATAAGAGAAATTTACCCTATTTCTTGAAACATTTGACTGACACAAGCCATAAAAGCCACAAACTGCATAATCCTGCATCTAATAACTATGTAGTCAAAATTTAGTAGATGGCTACCCCAACAGATTCTGCTATTTTTGTTTCACACATTTGTAAATGTATAAATTATGTGACTATTGTGGATTAGGTATTAAATGATCTCAGATTCGTAGCTGGTGCAAGGCTTTACTCTCAAAATATAACTTTGAGAACTCAGATTTACAGGTCATCTGGGAAACGACGAAGTGATAAAAAGTTACTTGTCAAATTCAAAAAATGCAAAACGTAACTGTATGTAAGTGTCTTCAGTGGCCTTCATATTCTTGACAAGTTTCTAAAAATATGTTTTCTATCGATTTGGTTTTATTGGTCAATCTGAAGCTTATAAATATGAACGCACAGTGTTTTTTCTGCACAAATTAGTTACGAATATTTTAAGGGAATTTTCGACTTCTTTGAAAAATCTGGGAAGTTCTCAACCACTTCATAACATTCATCCAATAGAATAGACTGTATTTTTATGCTTTACACTTTCAGTCCCATTCAAGACTCAGCAAAGTAATGGAGACCTTCAAGTAAAGTTATCACTAGAATGAGTCCTTTGAAAATTTTAGTTAGCAATGTGTAAAGATTGATTATCTGCTTCCATACAGTCAGTGTTCAGAAGACTAAATTTTAGCCCTTCAGAAAATTCGACGTTCATGTGTCAGACTAAAACAGTAAAACAAAGAATTTCAAGATGTCTTTACTATACTAATTTCAAAATGCTGGTTATTTTTTGGTTAAAGATTCAGATCCCACTAAGTACTTACCTGATATCGAACTTCTAAAGGGAAACAGAAGAACTACGTTAATCCCTAGAGTATTACCCTGCCAGTACTACTATGCATTTTGAGTTTGCTGCTGTTATTTAGAAAGGTTATATGACACTTCATTCATAGGAAATACATGGAGTTCAGAGGATGGTACTCTGAAGAATGAATTGCATGTATGATGAGTCTCTATGATTCAAGATATTGTTTGATCACTTTGATATACATCGAGAAAATGACAAAACTTTGGTGAAAAATCCACCAGCTGCTTATTGCATTCTAATACCAATCTGATCTCGCTTTATATTACTGTTATTCACAACAATATATTGTTATAACAACAACAACATTAAACCAGTAATTTTGGTTCTGTAAATAAAGTGTAATAATAAGAGATAATAATTCTATAGGGTGTTAATAATCTTCTTATATGTCGATACATCCCTGAAGGTGAAAATCAACACTTTTTAAAAAATATAATAAAGCGCATAAGGGAGGAAAAGATTTTTATACCTGATGAAAGGGAAATGTGACGAACTTTCAGTCAAATTTCCAGTGTGAACAAAAACTCTCTATGACATTTTTTTGATGTGAATAACTGAAATCCATTTAAATAGCTTTTCTTATTCTCTTGTTTTTAAATCTTTTAAGAATTAGGCATAAAACTCAAATAGCTTTGAGCGATTCAGCGCTTAGTCGAGATTTGTTTCCAGATGATTATGATTGTTTGGGTGACAATGCAAATCGTCCAGTGAAATGGTTAGCTCTAGAAGCTTTGATTGAACGAAAATATACGAAAGCGACAGATGTATGGTCGGTTGGTATAACCTTATGGGAATTAATTACTAAAGGTCAACAACCTTATGCCAATATTGATGCCTTCGAAATGCCAACAGTTTTACGTTGCGGATATCGACTGAAGAAACCTCAAAATTGTCCAGATGACTTGTAAGTGTCTCTTCATCATTTCACTGCTGACATATTTATATATATATATATATATATATATAATTTAAAACAAGCAACAAACTTTATTAAAGCAGGATATAATGAATTCATAAATTTCAGTAGGTCTCCTCAGCTTCTTACTCCACATACATGGTATTATATACTGTTATGCGATGGAGGCATAGACACACATATTATAGACTAGACATTGAATGACGTACGACTACATGGAGTAAATAAATTATTTATCATTTTAACTGTCTGAGAAGGCCAAGGTTTTGGCAGGCTAGTATTTATACTGAGTGGTGATTAAAGGTGAAATGGAAAACTGGACGGCAGCAGGACTCAAAACGCTGCTGCCCGGTTTCCAAGCTCGGTGCTCTACCAACTCAGCTACGAGCCCTGATGGCCGACCAGATTTTTATTTCACTTCAACCACCAAGAGTTTTACCCGACTACCATGTGAATTCATGAAACGTTACTATCCCTTCATCGTTTGTCAAACCACAGCTATCTGAGATAGGCTAAATGGTATTTAGTATGGTGCCACCTTTTCTAATTCAGCTAGATTTGGATTGGGATTAAAAGTCCTGAGTGCGGATAGCCAGAATGCATACGATCCAGCGGTAGTAACGCATCATGAATTCATATCTTAGTCCAGCGAAATCCTTGCTGGTTGAAGTAAAATAAAAATCTGGTCGGCCATCAGGGCTCGTAGCTGAGTTGGTAGAGTACCGGGACGGAACGCAGTGACCGTTGGTTTGATTCCAACCGCAGTCCGATTTTTCATATTGCCTTCAGCCACCACGTAGTATCAGTTTAGTTATATCAAACAGAACTAAGGGTTGTTTGGGGGGAGTAGCAAACCAATACTATAAAATAAAGGGACTGGGAATGGATTACATCAATTCGTATAATTAGTGTATTATAGGTAAATTTTTAATGCAAAGCTCACAGACAACGCTAAGCTTTTATTTTGATAATATTTACTAGTCAACTCGATAGTCTGAAAAAAGTTCACACCAAGGAAGCTAATGCGTTCGGTTAATAAAAATATTGTCTATAATACTGATGATACGAATGAGTAATAATAATGATAAAGTTAACAATAAAAATATGGATGTTGAAAAGATCAGAAATTACTTTATTTTGAACAAAATAATTGAAAACCAATTCAGAAACTTGTTAAATGAATAAAAATAAAGGAGGCTAGAATAATAATTGATCGATAACAAAAGTAGCAATGATAGTGCTAAACAAAGAAGGCCATTTAACTTTTAAGCAAAAAAGTTCAAGAGGAAATAACAGTGGGGCAGAATAAGGATAATGAAGAGCGAAACATGCTAAGCAGAGGAAGAAATAAAATGAGAAAATGAGACATTAGTAAAAATAAACGAGTTCAAAATACTTCGATACCTCTACCATGGTAGTTTCAGGGTGACTGTCATCTCTCTGCACATAAAAGCTCAGTTTACGAACTCTAATCACACATGCTGCCATGAGTGTAAGGATTTTCGTATTCCACTATCTGCTGACAACCGAAAAGACTTTAGTGGCATCAGCGTCATATCAGTGATCTATTAGGTGCGCCGTGAAAGAACTCCTAGTGATTTTGACTAAGCTTGCTTTAACCGCTAAGACAAATGCTCAATCATGTGAGTAGACAAACATTTCCGTGAGACTTATGTATTTGCTTTCACAAGACATTCTAATTGGTGTATACAGTTTAGTGTGTCGAGAATAGGAGTCATGTCTTCTCCTGATTTCTTCACCACCTGCTTGGTGCTGCTAAGAAGTACTACCTAGTTGAGTATTAAGTTTTTAAGTGATCTTTTCTAGACTTCACTTTACTCCTAAGAGAATGTCTTCATTAAAAGGTAATCTAATAAATAATGAATTTCTTGGAGTCGTGAGAACTACAATTTCGCGCTGTCTACTTTTTGAACACTTATTGAAAAGCCTTCAGGGTAGCTATTTTTAGTTAGGAAATGATTCAATATTTTTATTTCATAAACACTGGTACTGTCAGAGCAATTTCCCTTGATCTGTCAAATAGGGTTCTGCTAAAGTTCTTATTATATTGGATTAGAACAAAACTCTTGGAGTGGGTATGTCGTCCAGATCATGAAGACTTTCTACAGATGAATGTTTATGTAGATCCATCATTCCTTTTTACTAAGAAAACGTCTAAGAAGCTAACATGATCATTTTCTTTGTGTTGAACTTTGAAGTTGAGGTTCACGTGACATGAGTTGAAGTTCTCCATCAGAATTTCCGCTTTCGCTGGTATAGTTCCATCTGTTACATGAACTAATTAGGGTTACCAGCCTCTAGACTTGAAAGAAACAAGTCTGCAGGAAGTGGTCCTGGCGGGCTAACCATCGCGACGGTATCAACCTATGTAACTGACCATTAAACTGGAACTGGATGTTTCTACTACATGGTAGCAACAATATCTGCGGTTCTTCTTTTTGAGTAGGTTAATCACCCATCTCTTTGTATATAAATCCAACAGTTTCGATAACTGGAACATCTGTAAATAAAGAGACATTTTGAACGAACTGAACTATCACATGCAGTATGTTTTCAAAAGCATTTAGGTAAGGGCTCACGTATTCAATGCCTTAGTCAGTATTGTGTATGTAGTCTTTTATTGCATCACAGTATACAGAGTCATATATGTAGAGTAAAGAGCTGACGAGTCCTACTGAAATTTATGAATTCAACAAATCCTGCTTTACTGACGTCTGTGGCTTGTGTTAAATTCATATACATATAACAAAAATATCTGTTATAACTTGAGTTGTCTAACACTGTTGACAGTTGAAGATAAAAAAGTATTGAATCATGTGAGATAAAGAAATCTCGCAATTAGCAGAAATATTGAGGACGGAAGCTATGACCACCTATCTTTCACATTGACTGCCCTAGCACTTAAGGATACATGTTTTCACAGGATCCACTAAGCAACACCTTTTTTGCTTTCTCATTATAAAATTGTGACTCAGAATTTTAGGCAGATGACTATCAACCAGTGGGTCATGGTTTCGAATTCCGCTCCATCTAACAAGGTTTTGGCAGCCACATGGTATCATTAGGCGTTACACAACAAGTGTAGCTCATTGTCTACTGTATGGTTGTTCATAAGGTGACTCAGTGAGTTTCGTTCGTCCATTGAACTGTAATGCGTTTCAGTGGGGAAAAATGGGAAGTATCAAATTTAACGGAAGGTGATGAACACAATGAACCTGCAATTAAACTTCACAGCGTGGCAATCTGAGAAAATTGTGATTTTATAGGATCAGATAATTTGTACTGAATGATGACTGAAGGTGAAATGAAAACTTTGGTCGTAGCAGAATTTCAACCGGTGGACTTCAGGTTACCTGCCCGCTGCTTTACCAATTGAGCTACGTGACCCAATTAGCGGCTAGATCTTAATTTTACTTCAATAGGCAGGGATTTCGCGTGAACACCATGCAAATTCTGGCAAAACTCTTGGAGATAAAAGTGGAATTAGGATCTGATCAGCAGCCGAAATTCACATATAAGTTAGCACAGCACTAGCCTGATAGCCTAGAGGCTACTGGTTAGAACTCTGCCGTGACTGAAAAATTCGTTTCACCTACAATCCTTACCCAGCTTTCATAATTGTTATTTTTCCCTTGGGTTCCTCGTGGAACATAGGGCTTCAGCAGCACGCCTTCATTGCACTCTCTTCTCTCCAGTCTTTCCAACCTCACTTCATGACTCCCCAAACGTTTTCATTTTTTCCTGTCATGATTTCCTCCATGTCACCTTCAGCACTGACACCCAACTCGTCGTTTAACTTTTGGATTCCACTCAACGGCCTGGCATGACGCACGATGTCCCCAGTCGGCTTTCTCAATGTATACCCAATCCATCTATAATTTCTTCTGCATATTTGTTGGGCGATGGGTTCTTGGTTTCTTGTTGCTTATTCATTCTGACCATATGATCTTCAGTATCGAGCCAGCGTAGGCGGCAGCTGTTGATGAATATCTGTAGTTTGTTGGAAATGCTTTTCGTGACACTCCAAGTTTCTGAACCATACAGAAGCACTGACTTGAAATCGGTGTTGAAAATCCGGATGTTATTTTTTGTGCTGAGTGCAATGGATCTCTCACTGATTTCAGACTAATGAAAGCCTTTCTTACTTTTCCAATCCTGGCTTTGAAGTCCTCGTCTTTGCCGCCTGTAGTTGAAACGATGCTGCCTAGGTGGGTAGATGAAAGAGACTGCTTTCTTTAGGTTTCTCCCAATCATGGTGATTGGTGCTTCTTGTTGTTGATGCCGTTGTTCGTTGGGTATCTTCATAACCTCTGTGTTCTCTACGTTCACGTGAAGAAAGTTCCGCCTTCGCTGCCTCGCCTCACCTCTTCTGTCAACTTGTTAGTTTTTGCCTGTAGATGTTCGAGCTTGTGCGGCACTAGACATAAACCATCATCGGCGAAATCCAAATCTTCTGGGCTCTTTCCATCGTTCAAACAGCGCATGCCCATCTTCTCGCTCCCCACGGCTTGCTTCATGATCCAGTCGACCACAATCAGGAAGATCATCAATGATAGTAGGCGGGAGCTTTGTCTTACTCCTGTCTTCACTTCACAAACATCACTGAGCTTTTTATTGTGGATCTTATGGCATGTGGCGTCTTCATATAGCTGTTGAATGAGGTTGATAAAGATTTGTGGCACTAAAACCATAGTGTTGAAGCAGCTGCCAAATTACTTCTCCTTCGACGCTGTCGAATACCATTTCAAAGTCGATGAATTTGAGCTAGAGAGTTGACTGCCATTCCATACTCTGTTCTATGATGATGCGTAGTAAGAAATATGGTTACCAAGGCTATTTTGCCCAAATTAATGCACAAAGAGCAGTTTTGCATTCATCAAGGAACAATAAAAGTAAGATGATTCTCTTTATACGCATAACATGTGTATGACTTACAATATTCATTTCTTGATTTAAAATGGAAATGAATAAAGTACGTGGAAGAAAACAGAATGTGATGAGTTCGTAAATTTCAGTAGAACTCATCAGCTAAGTACTCGAAATGCTGGATTATGTATACCAGGAGTCAGTACGTAACAAAAACTAAGATATCAATTAAGACATGACAACGTAGAAATAAGCGATTTTTATAAGTCAGGTCGTTGTGCAAAAGGTTGGAGTGATTGTTATATCTGAATAGGCTTAAGATAAATTACGTCATTCTGTACAGAACACCACTGTCTATAAATATTTAATACAAATGTATTCTCAATAAATTGATTCTTTCCACAGTCCACACAATTTCCATGGATGCAAAAACATTCGTCGTTCTTAATAGACCATATAATAATAGGCTTAAAAGTTGGATGGAAGTGCAGGAGTCAACAAGCCATGTACATTTTGGGTGAATAGATGTGAGTAGAATGCGCTTCAATTTCTACCTGGTCATTTATTCCTACCCAAAAGTATGGGATGACAACTCAAATCGTACAGACGTCTGAAATCATAGGCACACTTTAATTTAGCTTTCGACAGCCACTGATTATTTTTTTGAAAATGCATAATGGAGGTGGTGAAAATATCATTACTTTTTCCATTAAAACCAAACGTTAACAAATACATAGGAAAAATATATAACTATACTGATTCTGGGTGATGACTGAAGTTGAAATGAAAATTTAAGATTCAAACCAGTGACTAATGGGTTTCCAAACTGCTGCTCTACCAACTGAGCTGGGAGACCCGATCGCTGACCATATTTTTATTTTACTCTAGTCATCAAGGGTTAAAACTGTCTATCCTTTAAATTCGAGGCGCGTTACCACCGCTTGATAGTATTAATCTTGATTACTCAGTCAGAACTTGTGTATGTCAAGAAAAGTGTATATTGCAGTGACTAAGCTTAAATTTATTGACTACAAACTTAATCGTTTACGTTGAATAAAATTGTTTTTTCAGCACTTTATCCGTGGATACAGTTTACTGTCAAGAAATAATGTCAGTTTCTAATTCTCTAAAGTTATTTTATTTGAGAAATAAACGTCTGGTTGTCATTAAACCCTATTATCCATGCAATTTAGGTTCCATTTTTGCATACATGTGATATAGTACATTATATTCCATGTTTACAGTTTCACGGAAGTCCCATCTGAAAACATGAATTCGTCCACTTTTTCTATACTGAGGAGAATTTGAAGCTTTACAATACCGAAAAACGCCTTAGCAAATTACAAATCACGTTTATCATTATTACTTCATGTTTGTCAAAGAAACCATGTTGAAAGTAGTACGTTTGATAGATTTCATCCTGATAAGATTGATATGAAAGACAAACGGTTTCCTCAATAATAAGCATAGATACAGGCAAACCATAGGGACAGAGGCGTGGATGAAAGAGTAAAAGTCTTGAAAAAACTTAATGATAACAACGATACTATCTCCTGCCTAAATAAACACTTGACATTCATGTTTTCTAGTCAAGCCTACAAATGCTTCACTATTGCCTGTTTCCAGCTAAAATTAAGGCTAAAATATATACGTACCTTTACTAATGTGTGATTGGAGTCTAATAAGGTACCCCAGAAAGAGTGACTAACCTCTCCATTGATGGCTTGAAGCTATATGACTTCTGTATTCCTGGCTCGTTTGATGTCGGTGGATGTCAAGTGGTGGAGTGTCTTTCCGTATGCCTGAGGTTAGTGGAAGCTTGAAACAAGTGACTGTCCGAACACGTTTTATGAGACATTCAACGTTGTCATTTCGTTAACATGGAGTACCGAAGATTCCTAAAGGTGCCTTTCCGACAGATTAAACTTTCTTATTTGAGATTTGAAGCTACTGCTTATTATGCTTACATCTGAATGTTTCTCTTTGCTACAAACTTCATAACCTTCGACAGAATTCATTCTTTTTATCTTCTGTATTGCAGTCTGTTGGCGCGTATGAGATTATAAATAAGTATCGACAAGTCTCACGACCCTTCTTAGTTCATTAATATCTATTTAGTCAAACAGCACATAGACGGTTGCTGGTTAGTATCCAGTTGCGAAATTCTCAGAAAACTAGTGCTTCATCCACAGTAGGGCGTCCTTATTTATACAAAATGTCTATTCGAGTGGTTACGCTTGATAAGCATGATGTAAAGTTAACAATAATGTGCCTCGTAGCATAGAACTTTAAAGCTGAATACAGAAAAAAATCTCGAAATAACCATCTTGAACTCGTTTTCATGTTAACTAGAGAGCATACACCTCTGAAGAGTCCAAAACGAAGAATAAAAAACTGCTAAGTGGTTCCTTTTTTTCACTTGTTAACCTACTAAAATTATTTTGTTATACAACTGATTATGCATTGCATACTGGAAAGAATACTTGCTTGATATCATGCAAAATCAACTTTATATCAAGGTTTATTTAGGATTTTGACCACTAGTTAGACGGGAGGTAAGAAGAGGAAAGTTAGGTTTAACATGTAATTCTGAGTAATATTTCAAATAATTATCCCTCCCCCCAATTTATCGTAGAATCATACATGTATATACTGACAAAGCCCAGCCTTACGTTACAATATAAAATATGAATTTGGCTTTATAAAACCATACATGATATAGTCAACTTTTCAGACTTGGATCTATTTATTTAAACAGATGGAAGATAATATTTGCGTGCTGGAAAACAAATCCGTCCTGTCGACCAACAACTGGCCAACTCATCACAAGACTGAATGCTTTCAAATCAGCTGTGACTAATTATATTTAAATTTCAATAAAATCAGAATATTATTTTGTTAAAATATACAGAAATATACTTGTAATTTTGTTTTGTGTTTTCGTTACGACACAATTTTGTTTTCAGAGGTCAAAAGTATGAGAACTTGAAAACTAATTAAATGCTTTCTAATATCCAACTATCCTATTAAAAATTCCTGGACGCATAAAAAGCGTCTTGTATTTGTTTGTATGAAAGGAAAAATATTCAGCCAATTAGAACAGATGGTCGTAATTCCTGTACCAAGATCATCATCATAATCATAAACATCAACATCGGACCAGGCATTACTGCGTAACAGTCCGAGTTGCCACAGCTCATCGGTACATCAAGTAGAAAGATAGTGAGGTGAAGGATGAAGATAAGAGAATGCAGTCAGAAGAAATATAAAGTACGAAAAGAGAGAAATGAAGAATGAGAAAGTGGTGAGATTCGGTATAGCGTAGTTAACATGAAGATAATGTGTGTATACATCTGCGCCACTGACATCGGTTCTCAGCCATGTGATCACCTAAAGTCGCCAGCCAATGGTTCCTCTTTTCCCGCGGACCCCAACCACCAGCGAGCATCTCCCCACATGGCTCAAACCAACAGTCAAAGAACTTCATACATTGATGCCATGTTTTGGTCTGGCCACCTCGAGCCTTTTTCCAGTCTGGACCTACTTTGCTCAAAATTGTGTGACGAGGCAATCTGTGACTAGGCATACGTAACACGTGTCCCAACCATCTCAGTCGATGAAGGTTCACAACCTCATGAACCGACTTACCTCTTCTCCCTAAAACTTTATACCTCACATCTTCGTTACTCACGTGGTGACACTGCGGAATACGGCCTATACTTCGAAGGCAAAGATAGTCAAACACCTAAAGCCAGCTTTCTCATGTCTTCCACCTTCAGTGGCCATGTTTTACAGCCATACAGTAGAGCAGAGTGGACTGCTGTGCAATACACGCGACCCTTAATAGGCAATCGGAAATCACGGCGGCGCCATAGGTGGCGTAAGTTGGCGAAAGCCAGCCGAGCCTCTTGTATCCATGTAGAACATTAGTCTTACGGATCAGGAAAATAGGTATACGAATTGAATCGGATACACTTTCTCAGATGGATTCATATTCCAGTCAACTGAATTTTGGAGAGAATCTTAGACTGGTGAGGTGTATAGGCGCAGAATGGATTTTTGATACAGTTTCATTATGTAAACTTCAGAATTATTCCTTTGAAGACTGGAGTATTTTTGATGAGCCTTTAGCACATAAAACATGATTCGGTAGCACAATCGTCATATCTAAATCAAAAGCTTTCAACCAAATAGCAAAAATGTTTATGCTGCCTTGTGATATAACATGACATGGTGCTAAAAGCAGCCAAAAATAATTGCTCATACTGAAGTATTAACTCACAAACAGAAGCAAAATATCTCTACCTCATACATTCGAATCAATTTGCATGAAGTCTATCATCAATTTATTCTTGTTAGCACATGTGCTCTGAAAAATGTTTTTCTTTTCAAGTTTGCTTAGCACTGACTTTAGTTATCCTTCAATAGGGGGAAAAATGAAAAGTTAGTCAACGTCATACTAAGTAAACGTTAATTTATGAATCCTTATTTGTTTTATATTTGTGCAGCTTCAGAGAACTTTGATATTTGACAGACTTTATACAATGAATAACTTTATGGATGCTTTGTAAGCAAGATTTACGGTTTTATCTGTTTTATTGACTTCATATTGCATAAGTTTATTGACATAATATTTCGATGTTTGTGAAAATCTGACCTTAGTTTGAAAAGAAGCGAAGAAACATTTCGGTCATGGTCTGAACTTGGTAAAGTAACAAGAAACAAGTGTGCACAGAGTAATCTATATTCCATACCTTAAAGAAACATGAGATGTCGTAAATGATATGACATCTAGCATGTGCAACAACTGTACAGTCATAAGATAACATGTTTTTTATGTCAAAATTCGATTACCAGAATCACTCAAGTGAATAAAAAAATGAAATCATCTTCCCAGAATCCTCAACAGTAGTGTCAGCTATACGATAACGACATTAATTTCTAAATTCAACTTTAGACAGACGGATGTTGAACTTGATGTCGTATCGACCTGTTTTTCAGTCTGCGATTTGTATTTTAAAAAGCAAAAGGAGGAGTTACTTTTCGTATACGGACTGCACGAAAAGCATTGAGACAATGAACAGTATAACTACATATTGCATTAAGATACTTTCTTATGGCACCAATTGAACAGTAGGAGATGCCCCGATCGGGTCATTGAAGAGATTATTTTAATGACGTCTGTGTAAAGCACACAAATAAATAACACTGAGCAGCATACGAAAAATAAACAGAACGACTTCAGTTTGTTATTTGATTCGAAAACGTCTTTTACGAAATAACTAAATTGGACAATTACGGGCGGCTTAAACTTATTAACATAATATAAGGTGACTCAGGTCAAAATATGTGAAGCAAACATCTGTCATTCATTTCAATGATCATGAGTTGAGCACAATAAGCCATACAAATAATAAATTCACATTAAAATACATTCACTTTTTCCTAGGTAACTAGCAATCGAAAATAAATGAGTAGTATTGGTTATCAGAAACTTAAGCACTGTGTGTAAATAGTGGAAAATTACGGAGGGATCTCTGGTTGTACAGTTGAACAAGTTTTAGAGATGGAATTTAATCAGCATTGTACGTTGAGAGCAATACAGCTACACTTTGTACTATCCAATGATAGATTATGACAGAATATGAAGCCATATAGTGGTCTTTGGTGGTCTAAACAGCGTTCATGGTTTCAATGTCAGATAAAGTCTATGGTAAAATACTTCTTTCTGAACTCTTGCGGATAAATATCCCTAGCGATCACTGAAAAGCAGCAAAATAAGTTTCGGCAGGTTTTCCTGCTGACCTACTTCTAAAACTCAGAACAGTTTGTCCTATAAACCTGTGCGCTAGAAGTGGTCATAAAATATTAAGAATATTAGCAAGATCAGATTGCTAACTACATTAGGAAGTCATGTAGCAAACCTAAAACATCCATTTTTAGCCTATTATTTGACGGAATTATGTAGGTCCAAATCTAATCATCTCTGGCTCTAACGAGACATCCGACTTCTTATCAAAGAACGACCGTACCGCGCCGCAGTCCATTCTGTCCTGTTATGTGGCTGACAGATATGGCTGTTGAAAGTAGAAGATATAAAGAGACCACCGTTTTTAGACCACAGTCGTCTTCTCAGCGCTGCTTACGGATGGTGTAGTCTCTATGTTAGCATTGTTGAGGTCAAGTGAAAGGTGGTAGACAAGAAAGGAGAGCTAGTGGGTGACGTAGTGCACCTACAGTGACTGAAGTTGCATGGACATGTGTTGTGCATCGCGAGCCACAGCTTACCTGGAAAAACCATGCTAGGAGGAATAGGACTTGGTTGGAAATTGATTCAGAGTGATGAGACTAAGACATGATACTCATTCATGAAGTCTCCGATTGTCTGTCTTAGTCGTTTGTGGTGGTATAGATTACTCGGTTGGGGTCTCCGAAACGACAGGAATCAGCGGTGGGAAACTTTAAGTGATATGGATGAAAAATGGTCATAGTGGCGCAGATGTATCTACTCTTCGGTGTCTTTTCAAGCTTGAATGTTTTGATCAACCCTCACTTGTAAATTTGTTCTTATTTTTCTACTTGGATTTCAGCCTTTCTTTATTCAGTCATCCCTTGCATGCTACTATGAAGTATGGCAACTTGAACCGATGAACTTGTGCGTGAATATCTCTGTTGATTTTGTCTATTTGTCTGTCCATTTAAGCAGAGAATTTGCAGGTGTCATATAAAATCATCTGAGAACACTTTAATAAGATTTATTTATATTCAATGTCATAGTTTATCTAGTGCATAGAAATTAGGTTAATTTTTTGACGATTTCTTGGTGGGAAGTATGTTTACATTCAGTTTAATATATAAACTAACGAAGTGATTGAATTACTTTAAGTTGTTGCTCAAAAAATGCAAACAATTACAAGATATAACAAAAATATGAAAATCTCAGAGATCCATTACTTTGGCAAAACATTAAGAATCCAGTTGATTCATAGTGACTACTTGAACTTACCACTCCTAACGTTACGTATAAGCTTAGTGTTTTGGAAACTCTTAACCAGGGATTCGTGAACGGGATTCCAAGTGAGTTATATCATAATCGAGAACTTGATCAGGTAATATAAGGAAGAAGCCAGTATTGCATTGAAGCGAGTTTACCATAGTCAAAGAGTATGAATCCAGGTGTGAAGCCTTTGTGTTGACGAAAAGTGTGGGTGTTCTTCGGGCGGACAGACAGATAAGCGTAATAAAAGTAGAAGACTAACCAATAGGGAAACCTCGCCTGGTTAACTAGTTTACTAGTTACTAGCCGGTCACAAGCCCGGGTAAAGAGGGAAGGTTGGGCATAGGGCTAGCAACCCTACCCCGTAAAACAAATCTAACCGCTAAAGAAACTTCAAAGCACAAATAAAATATAAAAAATGAAAACAAACTTATTCCCCGCTGGAATCGGAGAGGCGAAATGACGCCAGTTGGTGAAAGCCTGCCCTCGGGAAGCCAATTGGCCGATGTGTCTTCTCTCGATGAAAGCGAAAGTAAACGTGGGGACATGGAATGTCCACACGATGTTTGAACCCAGTAAGGCAGCCCAGATTGCAAAGGAGATGAGAAGGTATAACATCGAAGTGCTTGGGATTTGCGAAAGCAGATGGAATGGGAGTGGACTCTCCAAACTGTCAACTGGAGAATCAATAATCTACTCCGATATTGTCACCCAGACGACAACCACAAGCAGAGCACACTGAGTTATGGAGTGGCTATCATGATGTCCCCAACAGCATCGAAGGCTCTCATGCAGTGGGAACCAATCTCCTCCAGGATCATGACAGCAAGATTCAACTCAAAAGGAAGGAAGGTCACAATCATACAATGTTACGCTATGCACCTACAAATAATGCAGAGCAAAAGGAAAAGGAGAAATTCTACAGACAACTTC